CCCCTCCCCCCTCCTGCCTCCCTTGCTCTCCTCACCTGGCTGGAGTACCAGGTCTCCCTCCTCCCTGGGAATAACAACCCGTTTTATTTCACCAAGCATAGTGCAGGGGTGTGCTTGCCTCCCAAAACTACCTCCGGGAGGCCCAGCAGCGGGGGGGGGCCCAGGCAGGGACCCCTCCGTGTGTGGGGCAGCCCCTGCAAGGGGAGTTGCTTGACGGGATGGCTTGTGTCTGGGCCTGGAGCTGTCAGCGCTGGCCCTTCCCTGCACTTACACGTTCACAGGGCAGTGAAACACTGGAACACTGGCAGGGGTTGCCCAGAGAGGTGGTGGAGGCCCCATCCCTGGAAGCATTCAAGACCAGGTGGGACGGGGCTCTGAGCAACCTGAGCTAGTTAGCAGTGTCCCTGCTCACTGCAGGGGGGTTGGACTAGATGACCTCTAGGGGTTCCTTCCAACCCAAAACATTCTATGATTTTCAACATCACATGACAGTTTATTTTTTTTTTTTAGGTAGAAGTAGCCAACGCAGACACTTTATCAGAGACGTAAAAAAACCCCTGAATGAGGTTAAAAGTACACCATACCATTACTTATGAATCCATAATCTTTTGGAGGTAAAGCAGTATGACCTAAAAGACTGAGTGCTCATACATATCACTCAGGAAAAAAAAACTGCTGAGGAATTCCCTTCCTCTGTGATTTTCCCTGTAATGTGCTTTGATTGTATGCCATCTCTGGACTGCCGGTCCCTTGCTGGGCTAAAAGAATGCTTTGGAAAGGAACTCCTGCTCTCTGCATGAGGCTGGCAGATGCCTGCTTTGATCAGGCACTGCCTGAAGGAGAATGGCTTCATCTCCTGAACAGCATGGTGTGAATCTGGGTCTTAAAATAATGGTTACATACTTCACTTCTCTGAAATGCAGGTTCCCCTACTGTTTTTTGATATACCTGCTGGTGTCCACCTGCTTATTGTTTCTATTTCTTCAGTGTTTTCCTTTGAGTCTGCTTCATTTTGAGTAAAACATGTAATTTTTGGAAGCCCAGCTGTAAGATCTTCAAGATCCGTTGTTATCTCCAGTTGATTGATGCCATCCCTTGCTTCCTCCTGTGTTCGTGGGAACACGGGAATTGCTGTGATCTCTCAGATCACTGGTCCATTCTGCTGTTACTGCACACAACATTAGATAATCTGGATAATGAACTTCTCAGTGAGAAGTAATGTTACAATGTGTCGTGTTTTGTCAATGTCCTGCAAAACCTTTTATTTAAAAGTTGTTGTTTTCTTTTGCAAGTTTGTTTCCCTCTTTCTTCTTAAATGAACTATATAGCACACAAAAGGTCAACTACTCACTCAGTTCCCTACAGCAGGCCCCCAAAATAGGTTTCTAAAGCTCCACTGTAGCTTCTATTGGGAATGATTGTCTCTGCTTTACAAACCATTTGGTAATGAAATTGGACATTTTTGCATAATAGCTGCAACAATCTCTTCAATTTTCTTTTCATCAGCAAAGGGATATCTGACTGTAATAAAACTCTGTCTGGAATAGTTTGTATGGCTTCTTTTTGTATAAAGGATATAGAGCATAATGTCTCCAATGTATATGTATGCAGATTGTGGAATATTATTGTTTTCTTGCTCAAAACCACCTGTTTGCACTGGAAATACTGGCACTGAAATATCTGCCACCAAGCACATTAGTAAGAAGGCCATTTTTTTTTAAATTTCCAGCAGATTTGCCAAGTAACTTATTAGAAATGCAATTTTTTTTATATTTTCTGTGAAGTTTAAAAGATTTAGTCACAATTATTGTCATTTTTTTCTGTTTTCTCTATTAATTTAATGAGGTTTAATCAATGGGCTGTTTAAGGGAAGATGGTTGTTCAGAATGCAGCAAACCTGCCCAAGAAGCTTAAAAAGAAAGACACCTTTCCCAATATGCTTTATGTGCAAACAGGATCCCCTCTTACATCAATATCAGCATCACCATTATATAACCCTTTAAATCACATCAGATGAAACTCTTGAACAGAAAAGAGATTTAACCCTGGTCATCTGTAAATAATATAACATATGCAAAACCAGTTTCACCTCTTTCCCAAAGGCTGTAGATAGAGGAGCTGCAATGACACGTGTGTTTGGGCTGTATTGGTACGTAGCTTACCCAGCTTGTAGCAGACCTGTCCATGTGAATGTGTGCAGCCATTCCAGGACCACTAATAAAACTGGATTTCACAAAACCTCCCTGAGTCAAAGCAGTGATGAAGGAATACTTCTAAATAATGCATAGTAGGAACACTTTATTTTCACAGATCTTTGTGTTTATATTTTTTCTTTTCACTTATTTTTCTTCAGAGCCTCTTTTTTTTTTGGCATACACAATCATGAAAATTCCTATGCTAATTTGATAAAACCCTGGTTTCTTAATCGGTACTTCACTGTAGTTCACTGCTTGTCAAGGAGAGGAAAATGCTATTGCTTTTTTGGCGCAGTGGGCTGGAAACACAGTAATAACATCTAGCTCAAGAGTGAGCACTGGTTCTCATAGAATTTCTTTACCTTCATTATACGGAGCCTTTTCACTCTTTGAAAGATTGCCTGGCATTAAATGTTACTATGTGAAAACCCTGAACCCAGGTCTCTGGTGTTTTTCGGCCACTGAAACACCTTTGCTGGCTGCTAATGAGCTGGTAGTACTTGAGAAATACCTAGGATTAAATTTCATTCTAACATAAACATTTATAAGAATGAATTAGTTATGGCTTTGCCTCAAGCACTGAAAAAGTAAAAAACATCTGCCCACTTTTGGCATTCATCCTGCTTATTTCTGTGCACACTGTGCTGGTGGAAGGATATGTTGACACACCCTAGCTAGTTCACTTTTTGTGAACATCTGGCATCAGGAAATAAAAGAGCATAAAACACTCCATTGCTTGTCTACGTGAATCAATCTGCAACCCGAGCTATGCTGAAAATAATGGATGCTGGATTAATTTCTGCAAGGGTTTTATCCCACTCTTACGGAAGACTCAGCAGTTTTCATACGGATTTTTCTAAATATTACAGGTGACATGAGTGTGTTTCACAAATGGTTTCCTGTGGCAGAGTGGGCTGAAGTTACTTGGCATTTGATATATTTTCTAGCAGATTTTATTTTTGTTGTTGTCCCTACCAGATATGTATTTGGTATGGTGGAACAAAATATTTTAATGATTTTTTAAGTTGCTCATAAGTCAGGTGACGGAAAATGACTAAAGGGAGCTGTGACATCTAATGTTTCTTTCAGTCACTGAAGATCTTGTCAGAAGACGTGCAGAACATAACAACTGTGAAATGTATCTTGACAAATGGTGTCGAGATTTAAAAATTCTCTATCTTCAGAATAATCTAATTCCAAAAATTGGTAAGTTTTTTCTGTATATATTTCTTTTTAAAGGGATTTACATGCATAATTTTGACATCAGGAAAAAATATCTGTTGTGTTATACTTTAAAGGAATGTAGAGTGAGTAACTACAGAAAAGTTGTTTGTGGATCTGCTCCTACCAGGTTTCCTTTCCCTGTCTCCTTAGTAAATTTCTAAGAAGCTCAGGAATTTGCAAGGGAAATTTTAAATGAAAAAGATAGTACTGAGATACAAGTCACTAGAATATGAGTGTGGAACACCTTTTGTTGATTAAAATATCATAAATCAAGATATAACTTAAATATCCTGTCTTTGTGGCAAACAGAGAGACAAACAGTTTAGCATATACCATGGACTGTGTTATCATAGGACTAGCTCTCTTCAGGCTCATCTTTAAATTCAGGTTTTAGACAATGATATTTTTTGTTAACATTGAAATAATTTTTATTCAGATAAAATGCTTGCTTTTGTGCATAAAGACAACTTTTTACAGCGAAGTCTCAGTGGTCTTCCTGCACCATAGAAGGTATAATTCCATATGATCTGTGGTTTGTAGTATAGGTTCGTGTTTGCTAGGCTGATGATAGGACATCAGGCCTTGGACTGGAAAAGCTTAGACCCTACAGATAGTGGTAGATGAAGAATGGAAAGTCAAAAGTGCCCAGGAATTATATTAGCATATTTCTTTGAAGTTCCTTAAGAGGAAGAAAAAAAAATCTGAAGTTTTAGGGTGAAATTCTGTGCTTGGCACTTGTAGGCAAAGGCTTTAAATCCTCTGGAGGGGTTCATCAGGAAACTCCTAGGGAGTATCTGTACTGATAACACCTGCATTTCTTAGCATGGAGGAATCTTCTCCCAGAGAGAATAAGGTTTTTGGAACTGCTTTATGCTGCTCTACCCCATCAAAAATGGGACTAAAATAAGTTGTTTTTCTCTTTGCTACTGTGTCCTTAATAGGGCACAGGACTTAATCTCGTTCTTTTGTTGACGCTCATACCTCCTTTAGGTTAGTACAGTATATCATATTACTGTTCAGCTTATTGCTTTTTGGAAACAAGATTTTTTCAGCAATCTCATTTTTGAGGCAGTCAGTTTTTTCTTAACTTAATCTAACTGTAGGAGTTGGAAAAGTATCCAACTTCCTACTTCATATATTCTCGTATAATGTAACAGCTTTCCAAGATAATGCCTTAGTAACAAATCAAAATTAAAAAAAAAAAGCAAAATGCTATATAAGTAGTGACCAAAAGGGTTGCCAATAGGGGTTGTGCTACAAAGTACAGAATTTGAGAAGTAATCCTTCCCAGTGGATACCAACATGTCCGTGCGGAGCATGCAGCAGTTCCAAGCACGCTTCAAAATATCATAGCTGAATGTTACATATTGACTCTATTGGGATGTGTCTTTTCTCCTCTTAAAGAACACCTTTATGCAGCCCTCAAGATCAGACTTGCTACTAATCAGATAGCAACTTGGAAGGCATCCACTGTATGGATGAGTCCTGGTTCTTTTCTATAAATGGAAAAAAACCCGCAAGATGCCATTGGCTTCAACACTTGTCTCTCTTACATCTTCATGTGTACAGGCACTGCTGTTACAGAAATACCATAAGAAAAAATGAACAGCCAACCTAAGCTGCACAAGTCCTTGCTGAGAAATAAATTTCATAATCTTTTTGTGAATTATGAAGAAAGTATCTCTCCGAGGCCTTAGTAAACTAAGTGGTAGGATTCATGTCACCAAACTTTTAGACATGCCTATGTCTTAGGCAGTTACTGTAGGCTCCCTTTATAATCAGTGATGAAGAAAAGGCATATATTTGAGCATGATTTGGTTCACTGGTTCTAGACAGCCAATTTAAGATAAGACAAATTGCACCTTCAAGAGCCTATTTCTCTTTGTGGATCATAGAGGAGCCTAGACAACTGACTCAGTTGTAGACATGATCTGTGTTGGTTAGATGAAGCTCCCTCTGCTTGAAACTCTTCATTTGTCTCAGCAGGGACAGTGAATCAGTGCGGCTTATGAATTAGAGTTTGAGGTAAACTTTATGACTTCATTGGGTAGGTTTTCCAGTCAGATCTTCAAAATACTTGGTAATTGGGGAGAAACTGAACTGTGGAATAGGTTATACTATGTATTTTCTCTCAGAATTATGTCTCTCAAGTGGTATTTGCATTTTTCAGTCATTTTTGAGACTGATTAAGATTGTTGCTAGCCTATTCCCTCTTTACCACCTTTGTGTATTCAAAGGAGGAAATGCTAGGCATTCTGACACAACCCCACAAACTGTGAACCTGCTCATTTCAATTCATGGTGAAAATAATACAGGTTAGATTCCAGATTAGGAGGGGGTGTGTGGCTTTGTTTTGTTCATACTGAAGCCGTACAAATCCTTATTTGCAAAATTCTTAAAAAGGGAGGAGTAGTTTCTTGTAAACCTGTGGTAGATAAAAGATCTTTAAAAATTACATATACACTAAATAAGCCAATCTTTTCTATATAAGTGAGCGTAAAACTCTGATTTTATAAAGCTTGACTAAGTAGGGCCTGACCCTTTCTGAATTTCATGACAAATGGAATGTTTCACCCTGCTTTTTGGCCATTCCTCTTGCATTATATATATGTTTTATGGATTTGTGATAAAAATTTGTTCATAACCTTCTTTATTTCTTTTTATTTTTATTTTAATATGTGTTTTCAGAGAACTTTTTTGTCTTTTTATTAATATTAAAATAATAATGCCCAGTAATCTGATACATATTCTGATTTGTCCTTCCTATTTTTCTGCCTTATTGTTTCTTTGAAGTAAAGTGAGCAAGTAAAATGATAATGCCCTTTCCAATGAAGAAAACTGAAATAACAGATTTATGTTTTGTTACAGAAAATGTGGGCAAATTAAAGAAGCTGGAATATTTAAATGTAGCTTTGAACAACATTGAAAGAATTGAAAATCTGGAAGGTCAGGTTTGAAACAAACCATTTTGCCTTTTTATATTGAAACACTTAAGTTATGACTTAGTGTAAAAGAGGGTGGAAGCCATTAAGTATGCCCACTAGTAAAGGTACTCTGTTGATACTCAGAAAGAGCCTTTTTGTGTGCAGCATTTCAAAAATGCTTCTTTGTAGCAAGTACTAGTCTTTAATACTCTACGAAGTGGGAATCCAAATTTTTCATGAAATTTGTATTGCCCCACTGTAAAGAGAAGATAATTTTTTATGCAGGTTAGCTGGAACAATGTGATTTTTTTTTTTTTTCTAATGCTATGCAGGCTGTAAAAAGTCTCTCTTGTGTAATGTTTCAGCAGTCATCTTCACTTGAGCAATCAAGTGTCGCACACAAGAAGGTTCTACTCTGTGCACAGGTTGCATTGGTAGTCTGGGTTATTTTTAAAGAGTTTTTCAGATGATTCTTTTCTCTGTCATTGCATGAAGTCCTGTCTGTTTTATCTGTGTTTAAACCTTTATCCTGTCACTATAATTGCATGTGTAAAGTTCTAGCATTTTCCAAGATCAAAATCTAAGACTTGGAGCCACCCAAAAGCACATTCCATATTACTTGAATAATTTCTGACTTGACTTCTTTCTCTTTCTTGATTCTGATTAGGCCAGTTGCTGAATATTTTAAATGTCCACCTTGACAAGGGAACAATAAAATATAAAGCTGCGTTTCTTTGTTTGTTTTTTTTTGTTTGGGTTTTGGTTTTTGGTTGGTTTTTTTTTTTTTTGCCTACAAGGTGATTCAAGAAGATGGCTTAAATCAAATAAAAAAAGAAGCAAATAGGCTAAACACAAATTTGTAAAAGTCGAATAAATAAGTAGTATATTACATATTTGGCAATTTGTTGAGAAGCTTCCATCTGTTTTCATTCCAGTAAATTTTAAGTTCCTCTATCAGACTGCATTATTTATTACTGTGATTTGTCATTTACTTAGGAGTCAGAACCTTTTGGAGTGAGCCTTGCAAAAATTTGGGTTATTTAAATCCCCTAATAAATCATTTTGAGTTGTTTATTTTCTTTCAGTTCCATTATGCATGAAATACTTGCCAAATAGACCTGCAAAGGAAAAGAAGTGATTACAATGATGATCACCAAAGTTGAGCTTGCTCTTAGCTAAACTTTTTTACTCTTAGAGTCAAAGTTATGATTCATGGACAGATCCGGATCTGGACTTCCTGGGCATTTTGTTAGCTAATTTAGCATTTCTGTTATAATTAATCGTTTTGGTTAACAAACTATTTTCTCACCAGTATTTGCAATTTAACCACTGATGAAGTATTCGTAGCTGAGTCCATGAGTGGAAAACCTCACCTTGACTTGGAGTGAATTTTAAGATAACCTTATTTTTACACTTGAATAATGTTAGCTAAGTTTAACAGTACACAGAAATGAAACCCATAATTGATCCTGCTCTCCCAAAGCACTCTTTTAGCCATATAATGAAGACTCAGTTGAGGAGGGGTACCAAGGCAATCAGACTGTTAAAACTGAAGTCCAGCTTATCTGGAAATGAAACATTTAATAACTCATCTAGTATACAAGTACTGACCGCAGAGGTTTGATAGTGGTAAAATTAATAATAAGTTTTGATATTTTGTATTTTATTCAGATTTTTTTTCTGTCTATAAATATTGTGACCTCATAAACTTAAGATGTCACTCTTTTACTTGTGGCTTGGAAAAGATGAAATTAGTATACAGACAAGAAATGCAGACAGTTGTATACCCATGTGTGTGTACGTGTGTGTGTTTGTGTGTATGTGTATGCCACGTGTACATTTATGTTATGGACAAACTGAATTAAGTTTTTTTCAAACAGGCTGTGAAGAACTGAAGAAACTTGACCTGACAGCAAATTTCATTGGTGAACTCTCCAGTATTGAAGCCCTAAAATGTAATATACATCTGAAGGAACTGTTTCTAGTGGGTAACCCCTGTACTGAATTTGAAGGTTATAGACAATTCGTGGTGGCAACTCTTCATCAATTAAAAGTAAGATTTTTAAAATTAAATTTATATCCAAACTAATAACCAGCATTGTTGACTGAACACACTAATCCCAAACAAGTTAAATGCCTGTGGTAGGAAAGCATTTTTCCTACTGTCCACAGGAAATTAAATTCTATTCTGAAGAATAAGTGACTACAGTAAATAATGTGATAATAAATTGGTTCTGTTTTGGCTAAACCACATGCATTTGTTAATCTTTCTATCATTTTCATTAGAGATCCTTAGAAAAAGTTCTGACAAAAAAAAATACACAGTACAGTTCTGGCTTTTTTTCTCCTTTTGTTTTTATATATACAATGCATATATATAAAATGCATTTTTAAATTATTTTCATGATTGCAGAAAGTTACCAGGTTGTTGGTACCATACCAACAATATGTGCCAAGCCAACAGTGTAAGGCAGTAGAAAGACAGAAATTGATGTAAAAATGCACTCTATTGCATCGACTGTAAATAGATACTTTGAGATTGAGGCTTTGTGCAAATATGTACTGATGTAATGATTTCCTGCCATGGAAACAAGCAGTCCCAGTCATGAAATATGCTCCCACAAATTTTCCCTTGGAGAAGCACAGATGCTTACTTAACTTATTTAGAGTAGATTCAGCTTGCTCAGTTGGCAATAAACTAACACGTCAAAGGAAATAATTTTGTAATAGTTCCATGAGCCTCAATGAAGGTCAGACAAATATCAGAAATGGCTGAAGGGACTCTCTCTATTACATAGTCTAATCAGACCAACTGAAATTCCTGGAAAATGCAAAAAGGAGCTCTCAGACACAGAAAACCATTTTCAGATCTGAATAGCAACTTATTGTTAATTCTTTTTAATATAGTATAACTTACATAGTACTATGGAAGTTTGAAAGGTGTATTTTTAATTTTATAGAGTAAGTAATCTACCAAAATTAACCTACACTTTAATAGATTTATTGGTTTGAATATATTTAAAATTTCTCAAATATTTATATTGATTTTTTTTCCCTTTGTGAAGTGTCTGGATAGTAAAGAAATAGAACGTTCAGAGAGGATTCAAGCACTTCAAAACTACCCAGAAGTGAAACAGAAAATCAGAGAACAGGAACAAGCTTACCTTCTCAAAAGGGCCAGAGAAAAAGAAGAAGGTCAAAGAAGGATGCAAGAAAGAAAGGACAAGAAAAAAACCCAAATGGAATCTAAGCTTGGATGTGACAGGTAACAGTAAGCAACAACAGTTTGTGAGTATATATCCTTCATCTCTTTCTTCCTTAAGGATTTTGGTTTTCCTCATTAAATAGTTTATATAATTCCACTTAAATGTTTTTGTTTGTCTTTATTGTTGATTCTAGCAGAATTATTTCTCCTCATGCGTGTTATCTCTAATGAAAAATATAACTAATTACAAACATAATTAATTACTGACCTGCAGACAGTGCAACAGAATTTTTGTCCCAAAACTCCAAACTAAATTGTCTGGGTGCCAAAATAGTGTAATTGATAGCTTCTTTCAGGAGAACAGCTGGATATTGTTATTTAAGGTAAAGCAGATGTTCCAGAGAAAGCAGCTGTTCACCCATAATTTCTTTTGATTTAGGGTTATTAGATATGAAGACTGAAATGGAATATTGCAGATATTTTGAGACATAAAAGGCTATGGAACATTGATTTCTATACTTCTTCCACCTAATATCACTGAGATTACCTAGACAGGAGAAGGTTTTTTGTCTGGGGTCATCTTCCACTGCAGTGCCATCCATCTTATTTTTAATCCAATAGAGACTAAGTTCCATGGAGCTGGCTATGGAACCTTGTCCTCATATATCACAGCTGTATCATAAATTCAGTTTTCTCTCTACATTGATGGAGAATTTTGGAAGATTACAGAGGCTTAGGGCTAGGGGAAAAAATGATTCAGGTTCTAAGATGGCATTTGAGGAGATGCCTAAGTAAAATGTTGCTACCCTATAAATTTCTTATGTTCTGCTGCCTGATATTGGGAATACTTAAACATCACAGAGACTGAAGGGGTTTTTTCACTGGAAAGTTGTGAGGGTATCTGAAAATTCTGCTGCTGAAATTAAATCCATTGAACTAGCTATCTTATCAGGCTTTTCAGAGGGTTAGGCATAAACATAGTATCACTTCTTAGTTAAAAAAATTAAAAACATTATGTCGAAATATGTTTTGCTGATTGATGAAAGAAGCAGGGCAGAGAACGTTGTCCAAATCTATAAGATACTGTTCTTGGTAGGAATTATACAGCTATTAGTATTCGGTTAAAAAGATATTATTGCAAAAAAATCATTAGCAAATATTCTTCCTTCACTTCATTGGGATAATATTCCATGTGATCTTGTGTAGCCCAGACTCCCTACAGAACACAGAAAACCATCAGGCAGAAGGAGACAGAGAACAAGAAATGTGGAAAACAGTTGAAGATGATGAAGACAGAAGATTTTGGGAGGAGCCTACACCGTACACTCCAGAATCTAGACTAGAAACTCACAGATACATTGAAGAAAAACGGAGAGCTAAAGACAATATAAGGTATGTTTTTGTTTTAATATATTCTATGAGTTGAGGATGGGAAAATTTTCAAAGAAACAGAGTAGAGACAGGCATCTGCCTCACGTTAAATATTACTAAGAACTGACAGCTTAAATCCCTGTTGCCTGTGCAAACATGCTTATAAAATCTAAATAAAATATACAGATTGTTCATTTTGTTTTGTTTCATTTTCTAAAATTTATTTATGATATGCTTTATCTTGGTTTTCCTCATACAGAGTTTTAAAATATAATTTCTCGTTTCAACTCTGTTTTATGGACTTCAGAAGTTTCACTTTTCTGTCAGCTAACATGTTTTGTATAGTTCAATGTTTGAAATACCTTGCTAAAAACATTTATCTGGAGTGCAGGTTGCATTATATAATTGGCCTCAAGTGACCTTTCAGGCACCTTTTCTATGTGACTTATAAATTTTTTCACATGCTTATCAAAGATATTTGTCCTGAGTAATGAAATTCTTCATGTTATTTATGCTATTCGGCATGGTGAATCTGAAGCTGTCCAGTCCCTGAAAAACCTTTAAAACTTTCTAAAGTTGCCACTGGTTTTGCTGACCATGGAAAATTAATGCAGATACTAGCAAAAAAAGTTATTTTATTGCTGCTGGCTTATCAGTTCCACAAACATAGTAAGCAATGTCCCTTTTTTTTTTTTTTTTTTTTTTTTTTTTTCTTATGTAAAAGCATTTGTGTCAGAGGTTTTTCTAGCTGTCCTTTTTAAGGGCATGATTTTTACAAGCTTTATCAAGCCTAAGTATCGAAAAAGTCAGGCCTAGGGAACTCTCCAAGAAATTCAGAAATCTGCGTAACTTGTTGCTATTATTAATTCAAGGTCTAGCACTTTCCCAGAACTACTGTGAAACCCAGATCCTAGCTAGTTAGAATTTTGCTGTGTCTGGGAATGTCTTGCTGTAGTCAAAAGCACATGTGTTCTAAATGCTTCCATGTAAGTATTCAAGGAGAGTCCAAACAGCATTATAACAAAGATAGAATAATTCCTTTCTGGATTTTTCTAAACTTCCAAAACATTTAAAGGAGTTAAAAATCCTTTCACAGTAATTTTGGTTCGGTGGTGAGATTTTTGTTAAGTAGCATGAGAAAGGTGAGAGCAGAAAAGCGCCCCTGACAACTTCAAATCATCCTTGATGGTGGAGAGGAGCTGAAATGTAACTTTAATGTAAGTCACTCAGTATAGCATACTTAGTAAAAAATTGACATGAACTCAATCAGACCAATGATATATTTCAACTTATCTATGACACGTTAGCACATGTTAAATTTGCCAGCTGGGGTATAGTTGGACAGTTGATCCTAAACTTGAGCACCTTTGGCTATTGCCAAATGAGTGATTACTTGCGGTTTCATTCAAAGAAAATTCAGACAAGTGTAAAATCAGTTGCAGCTGAAAGGTGCATGGGATCTCCTTTAGCTGGTCATTGCCTGAACAAGGCCCTTCAGCCCATCTTAGCACGAAGTTAAACAAGTTGTCTTAAACTCTAATGATTATGACATGACTGAATTTGCCTTAAAATGGTTCATATGAGTAGACAGATTTAATCTAGAAATAGGTTATTAACAGCTAAGGGGTGGTAGGATATAATTTCCTGAAGCATTTCTGAGAACTGCATCTTTAGAACAGGGTCATGGTTCATTCACTTTGCATTTAAGTGTCAAGAGTATTCAGGTGTAGAAACTGCTAGCCCACAAATCCCACATTAAACCTCTGATTCATACTATAGAATAGTATTTAACACATGGATAGTTGTGAACCTTTCTTAAACAGAAGTTGTTTTTATGTAGTCATTCCAGTAGCTCCACTTGAATGTTTTATTTCTTCTTCAAATCCATTGTATTTATAGACCAAATCTTTTTAAATGCTTTTTTTCCCCCAAAGTGGTCTAAATCTTACATACTTTATTTGCCTCATTAGTGATTTACCTTTAATGCTCTCTTAATCTCGAGCGTAGAGTAAGAAATTGGTTTGGGAACACAAGAAGCAATGTATTGGTGTTTTTTGAGAAATGGGAGGGTTTTATACCTCAGCTGAAGTATCCATACACACTATATTGACCAGCTGAAGAGTGGATTAATGCAAATCGACAATTATAGTGGTGTATTTTTGAAGAAAATGTAGCCATTTTTTACCTAGGTGCAAGCAGATTCTTCCTCTCCTTGCTCATGATCTAAACATTTATACAGGAAAATACCAGTACTGCAAGGCTTAATGAACATACAGTGATCTGCTTTGTTCTGACAGATAAATTTAAGGTAGCTTGTTCATTGAGCTAAATGAAAGTCAAATATAGCTTAATTGCTGATAGCTGGACATGGATAGTGAAGACTGAAGTCTCCATCAGTAATACATGTTGTATTTTTTGAAGGAAGAACACAGCAAAAAATTTAATAGACACATCAACAAATAATCTACAAGTATGCACTTTGGTGATACTGTATCCTATTTGGTGCTGCTTGTAATCTTTGACCATTAAAATTCTTTTTACTAGTGCCGAATAGTGACTGATAGCCATGCTGTTAGGAGATATGCCAGTAGAAGTTAGCATGAATAAAAGATTTCTTTAGAATTGCTTGCACATATATCAAATCTGTTAACAGTAGTGATATCTCATGATTAGCATGACCATTCAAAACTAGAAAAACATCCCATCTCATATGTTTAAGCAATCCACTGATTTCTTAAGATATAACAGATAAATCTGATATATTACTGTTTGATAATGGATGTTGTGACATGCATAAGAAGTTATTATCAATGTAAGATGTGATATTACAAAGTATTTGTTCATCTTCAGATGTTGCTTTTAATGTGCAATTGGACATTTGATATAACTGGTTTTGTTCCTGAAATAAGTTATATCCTTAACATCAGATACCAGGTAATTCTTAGCTCTTGCCATCCTCCTTTCTTTTTTTGCTACTAAACTTGAAATACCAGAATGTGAAATTATAAACCATTTTTCTTTCTGTTTTGTTAAGGGAATCAAAAAAGAGAGAGAAGCCTCTTTGGACATTGGTCACTGCAGAAGGAAAGGTTCTGAATGTGAATGTGCCTAAGTATGTAAGGTTAAGAGGTTATACAGACTAACCTCTTTATAGTTGATTTGGGCAACTATTTCAAGATATGTAACAATACAAAAATAATAAGGCTGACAAATTCTCGTTACACTATTATATTTCTGGTCGGGAAACTGACTTCTAAAATTATATTCTGATGCTGGGAAAAGAGTTAGTTTTCAGTGAGTAAAGTATTGAATGTTGTTTAACATCTGGGTCTTTGATGATTGAAGAACTTGTTTTTCTGTAAAAGATAGACGACATTTTACTCTTTTCCCTTCTGTTTCTGGACAAAATAATTCTGTCCTCTGATGCCAGATGTAAAACTGGCAGAATTGGGAAGGGTATATAATTCACTTCTATGGCATGAGGTCCTTTGGCACCGAATGAGGGCTCTAGCAACAGAGGCTGGTGATACAAGGAAGTCTCTTGTATTTTATCATTGACAAAGGCACCTGGGTATTCCAGTGTTTTGGAAGGAGTTTCCAGGGATATCAGTCATGTGTTATGATTGGTTTCACTTGAACCAAGCCTTCCTTTTCTAAGGGAAAACAGGAGATGGAGAGTGCAAACAATGTTTCCTTATAAATGACTCCCCGAAGAGCTTCCTACAGGAGACTGATCAAAAAGTGGCCTACAAAGGGCCACTTACCTGTCTGCTGTCCTCTGAAAAAGCTTCTCCGTCTTAAGACTGACTTAGCTGCAAAATAAAAGCTAAAACCATGCTTATTGTTAGCATGAAGAATACTTTCTGAATCTTGGAAATTTATAAACCCATGCAAATTTGAGGAATTTACAAACCTACGTTATAGGATCGGCGCATAATTTTCAGTGATATAGGAAAAATTAAAGGTAGTGGCAGAAGAGCTCATGTTTTTTCCATCTGTACCAGAAGATACTTATCATTGTATTGATGAACTTTTTCTGTTAAAATGTGTTGACTGAAAAAAAATTTAAATAATTTTCTAGTTCAAAGAAGAAAGACAAGTCTAAAATAATTTAAATCTTGTGTTAATAGAATTTCATTATGCCTCTAAAAAAGCAGACATATTTAGAATAAAGCTCTCGCTGTCTTTTTAGAAGATATACAGTCCCCTGGAGTTCACTGTTAGTAGCAGTCCTGTTCGTGTCACCCGAATTTTCTGGATTAGAATTTAGTCTGTGGATGTGCCCACGTAAAGGCAGATCAATGAGCAGTTTTTGTCATGGCTTCAAGAAGAATATCACAGCTCTTCAGTGCAATCTGGCAGGGTATTGGAGAGACATAAAGAAAGAGATACAAGTAGACAGATGGTTTTCTCCAAAGTTTTTGCTTCAGTGTGAAAGTCTAATGTCCATAGCAATGTCCAAGCTTCTCTGATGTTCTTTTGGAAGGTTAGCAAGAGGAATGGCTGCATGCTGCTGAGAACAGACTATTTATCTTCCTCAATTCTGACTAAGTGTCCCCCTAGAAAATTTTACGATTCTTTTCTCTTTTTCACACGTCACATTTTAGTGCATTCTTAAAATTGTTATGAAGAGAAAAAAAGCATGAACAGGAAACAAAGCTGGTTTGTATTCTTTGCAGCTTTCCATTAAAAATACCCATAAACTAAAAGCTCCATAAGCTTTCTTGCAAGTTGACTGTGTCAGAATACAGGAGAGCAAAGAGTTAAAAAGTATATCTGACAAATATTTTTATTGATGAAAAAATGTATCATCTAAATGCTTAACATTTGAGCTTCTTTCTGTTACCTAAACCCAAAGTATCTAAGTATTTTAATGTCACTGAAATATTCCAGATAAATTACATTAAGCAAAACCCTCACATTTTACACTAATAACTGATTTATAGAAATCTTCTCGTTTATAGGTGGGTTTTATTCTGTTTTTTCTCTACTTTAATACATGGGCAATGTTTGAGTATATGAGCAGAACTTGAAAGTCTGGACTAGATCTCCTTACAGTTGTAGTAATAGATGTTCTTTTCAGTTTATAACTGGTAAGATTCTTTTACAACTTTAAGAACTCAGCCAGCAGATCACAAACACGCAGCTAATAAAATCTACAGTCTCCTTTTCAAAAAATATTACGAAGCTTGTAGAATCAAGGATATTGTGCAAATCGTGTTTTACTTTGGAAATGCACAGGCAGATATTTATACTCTAGGCAAATTAATTGCTATGAACAAAGATGCATTTTTTTTTTACATATGGTAATGTTAGAATTACCCAGTACTAGGCTTTTCATGCTTTTCGTGAACGGTTTTTTCTATGAAGATGTTAATAGAGCAGACAGATTTCGCCAGCAGATGTCTCTCTTTCTGCATTGACAGACTGATCTTAATTTTAACTGACCTTCAGCAGTATTATTTTTTTTTTTGTCTCTTGTGGGCTGGGTGGGGACAACAGAAAATAAATGTAAGAATGACTTTGGTTCAAATGCCAGTATTTTTTTCCTGTTCATGAGGAAAATTGCAACTGCTTCTAAAATGATCATGTGACATATTGTCTAAATGGTATTTGTATTCATCTAAAATTGCTAGCAGTTGAATTTGAAGTATGCCGTAATGTTTGCTCATTCACTCCAATTGTATTTATCCTGGAGGTGTTTCTTGTCTTTATTAGGCTTCATTTCTCTTTGAGAGATGATGAAGAAAACAACCAGATCATCTTGGATCTTGCTGTTTACAGGTCAGATTTTTTTTCCTCATAATTTTTGCCATTCTTAAGTTCTAATACAGTGTTTCAAATACACTCCTCTCTGTAATGGTGACTTTTCAAGAGGAAAATGAGTAACATAGGTGGTAATGGAATCAATCTTGAAGCCTGTGGCAAAGAAATGAAGCTGAATAAACAGAAGACCCTTCAGACTGTTCTGTTACTCCTCAGTGAGGACTGTGTCTAATAGTCCTTTCTGGAATTGATGTTCTCTGCAGTCCACAGGCAGGTTTCCTCCACACCTGTCCTTTTATACTTGTGGAAAATCTTTTCCATTCTTCATTTGCAGATTAGGGTCGCAGAGAATGGGCGTTTTGCCCGTTCTCTAGCCCTAGAAATGCTCTAGTACAGTTCATATCCTTCTGGTTAAATTCTTCTCCTCCCCAAGAGTAGGGTAGCCTTGTCCTACTTTCCTTCCTTACTGGAAAGAGTCCATGGCCCATGCTATTTCCTGAACTCTGCCGGGGCATTGCCTGGAAGAAATTTGATTGAACCAGGCCAAAATATTACAAGGAAACCTGATAACTGTTTGATAGTGTATACTACTAAGCAGTACAGTGGCCTTGCCCACACTTCAGGAAGGGGTTGGAAACCCACTGGCTTATTTACCCATAACAGGAACTTGTTAGAGTAAAGCTTGAGCTAGTTTTATACCACAGAAACCCTTTTCATGCCATGTGTTCTTCCCTTACAGCTCATTCATTTCCCTCAAAAGAGGCCTGCTCTATGTTTCTGAATTATAAGAATTAGGGTTTTTTGGAGCCTCAGAAAGTCTGTTGATATGCAATGGAATTTTGGATATGTTGTAGTATTCCGTGCTCACTTATAAGAAATGCAATCTAAAAAGTTTGAAAAATTCACCTGAGAAGTAATGTTATAAAAGAAGGTAAATAGGGAATATGTACTTGTGCATTCACTAGTAGGTCACAGGAACATGAGTGCCTATGTCACGTGATGAAGAGCAGATATTAAAGTGGAGCTTTTACAGGTCACAGATATTTTTTGACATTACTGAAATTTAAAATACTGTGTTTTCTGGGAATGTAAAGCATTTCTGTTTATTGTTTTCCAGCAAACTCTTTGCAAAAAAAGAACTGTTATTATAAATTTACTAGATGAGCCTTCAGAAAGAAAAGTAGCAAAATACTTTTACAATTTTAAATAGCAAATAGATTAATTTTCATATTAATGTGAAGCACTAAGCTAATAGAAGAAAGACCTTTGATTTTTCCACAAAGCTTTTGAATTCTTGCAGTTATACAATAGCTGATGTGGTGGACCTGACAGAATTTAGCCATTACCTTATTTCACATTTTGTGAACACACAGGAAGATCGTGTTTTTCTTCCGAACACATTAAATCCAAATAATATTTCATATAACTTAATAACTGGAATTGAAGTTTGCAGTTTATAAATAAGAAATTGACATTAAAGAGCTATATGGTCTGCACTCCTTATTTACTGGACTGTATTGTAGATTGATTCATTTATTTGTATTCTATTCTGAAGACATTTAGACACTTCTCTGATTGATGTTGATGTCCAGCCAACTTACATACGAGTACTGGTGAAGGGAAAGGTTAGTGTTCTCTTACTACATTCATTTCAAATCAAGAGTTAACGCTTACCATAGTTATTCAGTGGACTCTGGACTCTGACTTCTATGAGTTACCAACAGTGTGCACCTATGCAGAAAAAACGGTCTTTCATACTTGCATTATTTTGGACCACACATAAACTGTGGAAGTCCTAACCAGAAGACGTGAAAAGCCTGAAATGAAATTTCACTCCTTTCTCTCTTTTTCTCTTCTTATATGCCCCCCCTCTCCCCTGCCCTGTACCATAATTCCCTTGAAGAGAGAGCTTGCTAGTTGCCCTAGGCTAGAATTTAGCAATTTCACAATCTGGAATTTATAGCTGACAGAAACAAATGGATATATATTCTTTTGAAAGGGCATTTAAAATGCCCTTCTGGTTTTCTCTCTTCTCAGTACTTTTAATTTTATCATCCATTTTTGAAAACTTCAGAGTACTGAAACAGTAAACTAAAATCCCTATTTTTGACTGTACCAACTGCATAAACAAAACTTCAGAATTACTTTACATCTAAAATAGACTGGATAATCTTTCTCAGTTAATTGCTAATCTAAGTCAAGCATCATTTTATAACCTTCTTTAGAAATGTCATTTCAAGAATGACAGCAATTCAGGAATATACTTGTAAGTAAAAGCTGTTTAGCACGCTAATAATTTATTAGGATTAGTAACACTACATATAAAGTGAGAGGATTTAGACTTATACTGTCCTTAAGATCAAAGGATGTGATAGTGATGTTTCTGCATATGTTCTGTCCAGGTCAAAAGTAAAAAACAAAACGATATTTTAGCATGATATACTTCAATCCCATATTTTCTCATAGCCTTTTCAGCTTGTGCTCCCTGAGGAAGTGAAGCCAGACAGCAGCTCTGCTAAAAGATCACAAACAACTGGTCATTTAGTTGTCAGCATGCCAAAGGTACGTAAAATAATCTGAGGAGGCATCATAAAAAGATACTTAAAATGTTGTGAATACTTTAGGAATGTTTCTGAGTTACAGGTAACATCTGGCTCTCTAAAGTTATTCAGTCTAGCCTTTCTCATCAGGACATATTTTCCAAAGAAGGAACGTTCCAAAAAGACAATTTAATCATAGACCCAAACCTTATGATTTAGGATCCCTTTAAAGGAACATTATGAAAATCAGTATTGATAGAACTATTTGTATTCCCTTTCTTTTCAACAAACCCAGTTTTTTATATATGAAAAGAGACTATACAAAACATGTGGTATTGTGAAAACATGTAAGAAGACGGATTTTTTAAATAACTGAAAATAAGCAACTGACTTTCTTTTTCCACCTGTGAAATAATAAAAACAAAACAGCTTTTCAAAATTTGTGTGGCACACGTGTGAAGATTACTTTTTGGTTCAAGGACAGGGATGATGTACTACTATTACGTCTCAGGAGATCAGAACAAGAGTTGCTTAATTCATTTTCCTTTCATGCTCTCCCTGGCTGGAAAGGATCCACTGATCAGCTGCACAAAGTACATGTAATCACAGAGCAAGAGGGTTGTGGCAGCATGGTGTTTCAGTTGAAAAATGCTGCACAGCAGTCCCTAGTGCTTAAAGAAGCCTGGTAGAAGTCATATACCCCTAATACTCCTGACTCTGTGCTCTCCTGTCTCCTCTGTGCTCTGATGCTTGCCTGTACGGTGTCACACTGATTGGGATTAGAGTTGATTGAGAGTTCTGCTGACAAGTAAAAGCAAATTGACGTAAAGTTGTTTTTATATTCTCTCTCTTCCCTGTCTAGCCCAGTTTTTGCAATGTTAATAAGAGCAAACTGATTGGTGTGTCCACTTTATTTCATCTTCATTGTGTGTCTTCCTATGGTTTAAGTAGATGTAGCTTGTACCCAGGTACATAAGTGGTATTGTGATTTGTGGGTTGACATAATGAGTAAATGAGGTAGAAACAAAGGAGGAATCAGGACACTTCCTACCCATTCCCACACATCTGCAAAAAGTTAGAGAACAGAGAAGGAATGACAGTAATGAGGAACAGTCAAAGACATGGAGGTCAACTTGCCTTACTGAAGTAGGCAGTGAAAGAGGAAATGGGTGGCCAGCCAGCAGCCAGTGGAAGTTTGGTGGCCATTAGAGCTTAAATACATGGAAGATGCAGCAGTGTGAACCAGCACAGAAGACAAGGGACAGAGGGAATCTAAGTGGCAGAGGCATCTTCAGGTTTGCAGCATAATGGGTGGGATGGTGGTAGAAACAGGAAGGCATTTAAGGTGGGACTCGAAGTCCTCTGGTGCAAGACTGAGTTCCTGGACCTGAAGGAAGAACAGAGATGGACTGAAGGATTTGGAGCAGACAGGGAGCTGGAAGTTTTAGGAAGGCAGAGTTCTGGAGACAAGAATGGATTATATGGTGGGGTTCTGGGAGCTGTGGGAGAGGTTAATCAACTCAGCATCTTGCTCTTCTGCCATTATGCCTTTGGAGGGATGGCTGCTTTTAAGGCCTCTAGGACTACAGTGTATATTTTTGGCTTTCAGAAATAGGGTAACCCTGCCCAATTATAGCTATAGGAAAAAAATAAATTCTTGGTGCTCCAGCACCAAGAGGTGAGGCACCAGTGAGGCCCTTTGGTCTCTAGTAAGTTTCTCTGCTATGTAGAAGCAGTGGGACATGGTGCTACACGTGAATCTGCCAGGAGATACCAATTACAGCATTTTCTTCTGAAGGAGGAACCTTCAACTGTTATGACATGCGGAAAACAGACTCCACAATCTGTAAGATTGTAAAGTAGGTATGTTTATTCAGCGCTGGGCAGCACGGGGGGTAGTCCCACCAAAGTCGTGCGTACTGCAACATGGCAGCTTGCCCCGTTTATATGTAGCAAAGTGTTACATATACATGAAGTTTCCCAATACGCCTATACATAGGCATAACCTGTCCCCGCTTGGTATTAAAATTAGTTTCAAGAGGTCATTTCCATAAGTCCCTCCCAACTGCGCACGCTCAGTGATTTGAGTCGGTGGTCTTCAGGGGTCGTTTACTTCATCCACTCCTCTTCTTCACCTTGTCCTTTTGCTGAACTCCAGCTTCCGCCCCCCTTATTCCACTGTCAGAACAACACAGCCGGTACCAACCAGCTCCCCATTCTTGGCTATCCTCATATCAACAAAGTGCCAGATGCTTTGTTCTCCTACAGGCCTTCCAAGGCCTGTAACAAAGATGGGCCATTTGCTACTAACCTCCCCTCTTCCACATTCCCTACAGTGTTAGTTTCTTATCTATAGTTTACTTCATATGATTAGTAAGTTAATCTAAAACACAATGCTAGCAATTAAAGATGGATCTACAGTTGGCTTCACAAAGGTCCTTTTGTTAACCCTTTAGCCTCCCTTCAGCTATATGGGGTCATTTCTTTCTCTTTGTGGTCTGATTTAATTCTAAGATTATGCAACTAGTAGCTGTAACTAAAAAGTTATTTTTCAGCTTTTGGCTTTTCCCACTCGTGTTTCTATACCTTCCATGTTTTCTTCTATGCTCCAGTCCCATACCATCTGTCATTCCCTCCATGGACAGCCTCTCATTAAATCACAAACTGTCACTCTAGCATCAAGCATGCAGTTTCACCAGGAGCTTAAAGAATGCTGGAAATTTTACTCATTTGGTTAAGATTCATATTTTGTTAATGTTCAAAATGCACTCACATGAGAATTTATGGTTTCCTAAATTTAGTTCTCTGAAAATGAGACCTTGACATTTGCCATTTTGAATAATGTCATTTTCATATGTTTCTGAACAGTTTTGTTTACTATTTACTTGTCTTTCGGATAAGTACTATCAGTTTTCTATCCCATAGCCTGCTTTTATTATTCATACGTCTTGCTAGTCTCTTTGTGGATTATCATTGCCTTAGAAAATGTAAATATTTCAGAGTCTCTGGTTATATTCAAACCTGCTGCCTGCCTAGAAAGTCATACTTAGACCAGCAAAATTAATATTATCTCTTTATCTCTTCATAGTGTGATTGAGAACTGCCTTTATTCCATTATTAACTTCATATTTCATTGACTTGATATTTTAGCTACACCTACATATTTTACCTAGCTTGAGGATCTGGAGCCTGTTTCATCTCTGAATGTCACCATTCACAGATATTTGTGAGACTTGAGGGGAGAGAAGCTCTATAGAATAACTGAGTTGATGTTCTGAGCTTTGCCTTGGTTTGGTTAAAAACTACTTGTATAGCTGGGACACAGAGGGGTATGCATGAATGGAAGCTGCATGGTCTAATATCTTCGTTGTCAATGGATCCAAACACTTGCAGCTTTGCAGTAAAGGACCTGGTAGTCTTGGTGGACACCAAGTTGAACATGAGCCAGCAATGTCCTTTTCTGCCAGAGAAGTCTAATTGTACCCTGGGCTGCATTAGGAGTGTTGCCAGCAGGTTGAGGGAGGCAATCCTTCCCCTCTCTTCAGCACTGGTGAGTGCTGAAGTCCCACATAGGTGGAGTACCGTGTCCAGTGCTGGGCTCCCCAGTACAAGAGAAATGTGGATATATTGGAGAGAATCCAGCAAAAGTACACAAAGATGATGAAGGGACTGGAGCATCTCTCCTGTGAGGAAAGGCTGAGAGAACTGGGGCTGTTCAGCCTAGAGAAGAGGAGGCTCTAGGGGATATTATCAATGCACATAAATACCTGAAGAGAGGGTGCCAAGAGGATGGAGCCACATTCTTGTCAGTGGTGCCCAATGGCAGGACGAGAGGCACTGAGCACAAACTGAAACACGGGAGGTTCCCTCTGAACATCAGGAAACACTTTTTTACTGTGAAGGTGTTTGAGCACAGGTTGTCCAGGGAGGCTGTGGAGTCTCCAGTCCCTGGAGATACTCTAAAGCCATCTGGACATGGTCCTGGCCAGCTGGCTCTAGGTGGCCTTGCTTGGGCATGAGGTTTGGACCAGATGACCTCCACAGGTCCCTTCCAACCTCAACCATTCTGTGAGTCTGTGACCCTGTGAACCGCTGACCGAAGATGGATTTGTGCTACTTTGCAGCAATTGCACTTAGCAGGTACAAACCTATTTTTCTTTGGTCTATATTAAAGTCACAGACTCTGTTCCCTTCCCCCAGGACTGAATTAGAGTGCAGAAGCTATATTTTTGGGTTACATATCCTTTTCAGATGCTCTCTATCCATACAAATTTTATTTGTATTAATAGGATGTAATCTAGGAAGCAAAGTATAATAAAGATTAGCAACAACTGGAAGGCCAATAGATATTTTTCTTCATTCTGGCTCAGGTTATCAAAATGTTTGAGAATACTAAATTGATATCATCAACTTAATATGACTTCTTTTTAGTAAGATAATAGGAAGAACAGAGTTCATGCAACTTCTTTCAGGCTGTATCAGTGATAAGACAAGCCCAAGGACTATATTGCTCTATATTTAACCTTTTTGTTCCCGATAAACAATTATTATAAAAATAAAATTGTTTGCAACTAGATAAATGGCCTAGTACATTCCTCAGGTAACTGAAACATTAAAAGTGCTATTAACCTAAAAATAGTCTCCTATTATGTGCTTCTTGCAACACTATCCTTAAAAGATACCTCTCAGAACAGAAAGCTAACTGAATTCGGTGAGTGTTTTTCACTTGCTTTAGTGAGTTTCTGATCAGGTTACGAAACCTTTCACCATTCATCTTCCAGCCTGTTCATAGTTCCCTAGCCTTTAAAATAAAAAACAAAATCTCTTTCCTTGCCTCTCCAATGACCTTGCCAAACCACAGATGTTGGAGACGATAGTAAATTCCACGTGAAGTAAAAGAAAGCAACTAATTTTCGCCTTCCTTTCTGGAAGCTTTTTCCTTAAATGTGCTGTTTACTGCACAGCAAGTGACTGCAGAATGGGTGTCTTTCTAAGGCAGTGCCTACCAACATTTTTTGGGAAGTCATCAAAAAACAAGCTGAAGGACACAATGTTCAGTGAAATGATATAGTGACACTTTTAAAGTGTAGTGTTTATACTGTAATAATCATCTCACTACAGAGATTTTTGCATGAGTAAAGAGTTGATAGTGACTACATTGTACATGCTTCATTTTCTGTGACATGAAGCCTTTCAAAATTTGAACCTCTATGCTCTGTGTCACATTTTAAAACTTCACTTTCCTTATTTTAGTGAATCAGAGAGTGGAATTTGGACTTTTTGATTAATTCTTTATTATATAAGCAGTCACAAATGAATTCTGTCAGCTTTTTATTGCCTAGGCCTTCAAAAGCATTTAGAAACTTAAAGATCAATGAGAGTTAAATTTGTTAATTAATTTAAAAATAGGAGTGGTATATATTATGCATGTCAGTGCAAAGGTTATTTGATAAAATTTCATTATATAGTTCTCACTTATCTAGGTATGGTAAATGCAGTAATATTTCATTACCATCAAAGGCATGTGGAGACATACAGCTGTGGAATCCTAGAAATCTATTCATCCTTAGAATAAATGTCTTTCAGGGAAACTCTGTTACTTGGTAGAATTCCTGTTGTAGAAGAAGAAAGCCAGTGTTGGAAAAAAATGGGGACTGAAAAGATGACTCAGCTTAAAAATATCATTTTCCTATATTCATTCTGTTTTCTCAAATACATTCCAGGTTCTATTTAACATATCTATTTCTAGAATTCTCTGATAATGATCTTAAAAGAGCTATCCTTTCTGTTTTCCGATTAATGCAAATATTAGCAATAGTTTCATAGAATCACTTTCAGAACGCTTCATTATATTAATTTAGTCCATCTTCCTGTATGTCACAGGCTTTAAATTTCATACAGTTATCTTTCTACTGAGCCCAAAGTTTTATATTTGGCCACAGCTGAAGCTATGGCAGTTCTGTTTTCCACAACAGTTATCCTCACTTGATCAACACCACTAAGAGATGGATAGTCAGCTACTGGTTTGATGGAGCTCATGTACCATTGTTGCATATGGAGTTGTGTTTTCAAAACCAAGAAAAATTAGAGAGTATCACCTAAATTTTTTCTTGATAGGAAAGCACCTTTTGTGCAAACGAGCTTTTAGGTCAAACAGTATTTGATAATTGTTAATAGATGTTTAATTAGGCAAATCCTATCCCTTCCCTAAGTTCCAAGATTGCTTCCTGTCGAGGAAGCCTTTTCTATTGATTGCAGAATCAGCAAACTTCCTCACCATCCTTGATAATGTGCTCTGAAGGCAAAGTAAGGAACATTACTCCCAAGGGGATCAAAGGAATAAATTATTGTTAAAAGAACAGAATACTAGGGAGCCTCCTGAGAAAAGAGGGAAGGTCCAAAGAAACAGACTTTTCTTCACCAGAGTATGTAGAGAATCAGAGGGGATCAGCCCCTTAACAATGAATTTCAGAAACAAATGACAGAAGCAACAGTCTGTTATTAAGACAGGAAAGAGATACCCTTTTGCCAATAAAGTTTTCAAAAAAATGGTGATGGACATGTTTTCTTTGAGAAGGGGAATTCACTTGGACTTTGAACTTGAGTTTCTGTTTTAGCAAAGGAGGTGAGGGAGTTTGTGGTCACTCGTCCCTTTTATAAAGAGTGAGGAGAAGTCCAGACTGCAGCAGATTCTTTAAAAAAAAAGTCTGAATGAACACATGGATACTGGAATTGAAATCCAAGTGGAAGGCATATCATCAATCAGTTAGCTATGGAGAAAATCAGAAATGTGCATTATTAACATGGTACTTGTGGTTTAAGTGTTTTTAAATGAGAAAACCCGTGGGTTGAGACAAAGACATTTTAATAGGTAAAGCAAAAGCTGCGCATGCAAGAAAAGAAAAACAAGGAATCCGTTCACTACTTCGCATCGGCAGGCAGGTGTTCAGCCATCTCCAGGAAAGCAGGGCTCCATCATGCGTAACGGTGACTTGGAAAGACAAACACCATCATTGTGAATGTCCCCCCCCCCTTCCTTCTTCTTCCCCCAGCTTAATATGCTGAGCATGACGTCATATGGTGTGGGATATCCCCTTGGTCCGTTGGGGTCAGCTGTCCCAGCCATGTCCTCTCCCAATTCTTGTGTCCCCCCAGCCTCCTTACTGGTGGGGTGGAGTGAGGAGCAGAAAAGGCCTTGACGCTGTGTAAACACTGCTCAGCAGTAAGGAAAACATCCCTGGGTTATCAACACTGTTTCCAGCACAAATCCAAAATTTAGCCCCGTACCAGGTCCTATGAAGAAAATTAACTCTCCCTCAGCCAAAACCAGCACAGTACTAAACAAGAGAACATGTAATTAAATACAACTAGATGTATATATTTAAATATTTATATATATATGTGTATATATATATTTGAATATAATTCCATTCCGATCATTTAGTTAAAATTGTCTTATGCACATGTTTCATGCTGAGTGTTATAATCTAACACAAAGAGTAAATGTCACAATAGAAAGTTTATTCAGACTCTTTTAATATTTCTATTTTTGAGAGATTATTTAAATGCTTGTGAGAATAAATATCAACTTTTATGAGACTTACTTTACTGTCTATTTTTATTTTAGGCTAAAGAAATAATCCTGGTTAAGCAAAAAGTATCTATGTCAATTAAAGATTCTGACTGCAATACACTGCAAAAAAATGCAAGAAGGTAATTCCTTTTTTTCTTTTGCATTAGTTTTATTTTTTCTCTGTTTGTTATTCACATGCCAGAATATATGCTACTTGTTATGTTATTGTTGAAAGTATGAAAATATTGATTTGTATAGAGTAAAACTATGTCTAAAAGCTTTAGACTAATGGCCTGTCTGGTGCTGCTTATAAAGTGATCTGCTCCAATAGCAGAGCCAAAAAAGCACTTATTTCTGCTGATCAGCTTTGTTCCATCAGCTCATTCAGATTATTAAACTGGTATGTACTAAAACTAAATCACCTACTGAGAATTGCCTCTGCAGAGCTCCTTGCTGTGTAACCCAAGTCTGAAAACCATTTAGAAAGCAATGATTTTGAATCTCTCTCGTGAATGTGTCGGGCTTTCTGGTATACAGGTTGAGCTACTGCACTAATAAATAGGTTTAAAAAGCAATTCTGCAAGGTTTTATAACATAGATCTATCCTATTAAATGTGATGTAAAGTTGAGCTCTTGAAATCTTGTAGTTAATGACTACCAGAAGCAAGCAAATATCAGTGATGCACTATTTTTTTGTTTTTACTCTTAGCAAATGTTACTAGCCATTGTTGTAGATAGACACTAGGGTTGATGGACACTGGGCCTATGTACAAATACTATGATATATCTTTTAATCCTTCCTTTTCCTCTTGCTATAGGCAATGGTATTCATACCAGAATAAGATATCGCAACAACAAAGCTTGTTAAGCCGTTTATCTGTTTATATTTGAAGTGTGGCATTTCCCTCCTTGTTTGATTCCATTGTGGTGCATGTTGATGGAAAGGCTAAGCAGTTAGTAAAAAAAAGCATTATGGATCATGAGTATTCTTCTTGGTCTCAATATTTAGGACACTGGCAAAATGGCTGTGAAAGAGGCAGTTGTCATTAATTCTGCTTTTTATTTCTTATTTTTAATAAATATCAGTCATGACTTCAAAGGTCCAAGCCAAATGGTGGATACTTACTCTCTATGATATTTGAAAACTCATGACAGTCAGGGAAAGTCCCTGGGCACTGGAAAAAAGGGAAACATTGCACCCATTTTTAAAAAGGATTGAAAGGAGGACCCGGGGAACTACCAACCTGTCAGCCTCACCTCTGTGCCTGGGAAGGTCATCGAACAGATCCTCCTAGAAACCATACGAAAAGGCAGATGTAGGACAGGGAGGTGATTTGTGACAGCCAGCCTGGCTTCACACCAAGGGCAAGTCCTGCCTGACCAACGTAATGGCTGTCTATGATGGAGTGACAGTTTCAGCGGGCAAGGGGAGAGCTATGGTTGTCATCTGTCTGGACTTCTGTAAGGCCTCTGACATGGTCCTCCACTGTGGTGGTAGATGCCCCATCCCTGGAAACCTTCAAGGCCAGGTTGGACATGGCTCTGTGCAGCCTGATCAAGTTGAAGATGTCCCTGCTCATTGTAGTGGGGTTGGACTAGATGACCTTCAAAGGTCCCTTCCAACCCAAACTATTCTGTGGTGCTGTTTTATGATTCTACTTTGCAAAAGGAGTTTTTCTTTCCCACGGAAGTACAGCTAAAGCTTCAGATAGAAAGAAATCAGTTAAAAGAAATGTCTTAACTTTTTTCCAGGAGAAAACTAGAACTTCATTAAATAACTGACATTATCTCTCTTCCAAATGGATTCTGGGATTCTGCCAAACAGCAAAAGAGTTGGCAATTTGTGGATTAGGAATATATATTTCCTTAGAACCCTCTGTATGCCTTTAGTTTTGCCTACACAGTAAATGTTTAAATAGAAATAATGGGAACAAGGAAGTAATGGAAGTAATAATGTGAAATGGTCCCCTTTCCTGCTAGCTGATGAACTAAAGATACTCCATAGCATAGTGAAAATCCAAGAATTTGTGTTTGATTTGAATGCAGTTTTAAGTAATTATAAATATGCTTACTGCAGATTTGGAAGGAAAAAATACAAATTTTACTGTTAAAATATCACATGTATATTTATCACAAAAGCAGAAGTAGAAAAAAAGTCTTCTGAATTACAGTTCTTACTAAAAATAGTAAGTTTTGACCTCTTTAGTTGAAAAGTTGCTGACTATCCAGATGTTAAAAATTTGCTGAATAGTTGTCCCTTAGATTGCAGAACATTCATTACAGTGATTACACTTGACAGCTACAGATGTCTTAGCTAAATGCTGTCAGACTTACAGTCTGCTAAGATATAATGTAGCGCTTTAAATCTCTTTAACTCTTGTTAGCTAGATTACATGATGATACTATCATTACTTCTGCCACGTAAGATTTATTCTGTGACTGTATACAAGACTGTATTTCAAACCTTCAAAGAGACAAGTTTCTATGGGAGGAATTTGACAGATTGATTTATTATTACTTATAAAGCCTCTATTAATGTAGTAGCTGAGTATGCCAGTCTTTACTGGTCTCACAATTCATCTGTGAGGTACAGAAGTTGAGTTCACCACAGCTGCATAGGTGAAATTCAGATGTATTTAGGAACTGACTTTTGTGAATTCGTACTGGAAATTTTAAGAGTAACAGTTACATAAAGTCAATAATCCTTGTCTCATACCCTCAGCTTTAGACTATTCTTCCTTTAACACATCAGAAAAGAAAAAAAAAAAGGAAATGAAGTGTCTCTAAATGTAAATACACCAGCACTGAATTCCTCCAGTAAAGAAAGATACATAGGAATACATGAGAGAGACCTTTTCCTTTGGTTTTTATTTATTTTTTTTTTAATTGTAGAACTTTATATAGAGAGGTTGAGAAATACAGCCAGAGAATGGATTAATTTGAAGAGGCAAAGGAGTGGAGCAGCAATTTGTAGGGTACTTCACAAAGTAGAATTAAAACCAAATCAGCATGTTATGGGCTATACACATCTTTTGTAATGAAATATTTTTTATTTTTACATCTGGATTCTTAATGGGAAAACAAAAGAAAAAACATATGCTTCTGGAATGTCCACCACTGCCTGCTGGTACTCCCATAAATGCTTTTGAACAGGTTATCCAGTTTCAGTCAAATTTCACTAGTTGGGAGAGACATCAAATATGCAAAAATGCCTGTAAGTTATGTTGAACCTGAGGCCAAGAAAACTTGTATGTTTTTAATCACTGTGTTGGATTTTAATTCCAACCTTTTTCTAGCAAACACATCACTGTAAGACTCATTAACAGTATTTCTTTTATGGTTTACAATTTCACAGTTGTGAACAAGTATTAATTTACTTTCTTTGGAGAACTTTTTATTTTTTGTTGAGCTTTTTTCCATTTATTAACAGGCAAAGAAAATAACACTATTTCAAAACCTCTACAGTTTTCTCGATTCAGATGTAACTGAGTTGCAGAAGATGAGATATACTGCAAAGCTCTGATTTAGCTTGGTTCATTTTGGTGGAGAAGATGCAAAGAACAAATTTGTGGCAAAAAATTGTAGATGTAAGCATAAGAAACTTTCTTTGGGAGTGAGGAGTCCTAATTTGGATCCTTGAAAGAATCCTTCTGAAGTGTGGGTATCCCTTTCCACAGACTTAATGGCTGACAATCTCTCCCGGTCTTACATTTCTACAATTTACACACAGAGGGATAGAGGTGTGACAAGTTGGAAAGGAGACAACTTCATATTGCAAAGAGAAATACATTAGACCAAAATGAGTAATTTCCTCAAGACTGGAAATTCTAAGTAAGAGAAATTAAATGAAGCTGTAGGCAAACTAACCTGAAAGAACTGCAAGAGGATTTATGCGATCTTTCAAAATTCAAATTCACTTCTGTGTCTAAACCAAGCATGAATATGTCAGCTTGAAGAAAGCTAAGTGCATCCAAAGTGTGGCCTGCATGAGAGGTGGATAAATGTGTGCAAAGATCACAAATGGCAAATCAGTTATCAATTCTATTGAGATGTCATGTTTGCCTTCTATAAATACCTGGGAGTAGATAGTAAATCTTGAGAGTTGAATAGATTTGCAGAAATAATATTTTCAGGCTACATAGTTTGTTAGCTTTCATGAAGACATTGAGAATTTTTACGTTGCAAGTTACATTGGAAAGGAGGAATCATAGGAATTGTAATTCAATTGACTTCTTAACCAGAAAGCGGAGTCAGGTATGACTAAGCAACACATTAAAAAAGCTTTTTACTCAAGTTAATCTTAAAGTATAGATTCATTTGCATTCTCATGGAGGCCTGGATCTAATCAAAGTAGAGGGTATACATCTCTATCATTTGACTAATGAGGAGAACAAAAGGTGGGGTGCCTCAGAAGTAATTTGAAAATTAATTTGCACACACAGGCATCTGGTAATCCATAACTGTAATAAGGGCAACAAGACTTCAGAAACGTGCCCTTCTGGAGAAAAGCATTCTCAAGAATGCTGTTCAGTTAACCCTTGATCATGACAATCTAAAGTAATATCCAGTGGTCCATACATGATAAGGGCAAAAGACTGAGGGCAGAGACATACTTTAAAGTCTCTTTGTAACATTCCATCACAATTTGTTAGAATAAAGTGTGTTTTCAGTGTAAGCTTCCCTAATGTTTAAACATTAGGGACTCAACTTTGACTAACAAATTTAACAGTGCTTTTTATTTTTCTGGGTTAATCAAGGAGTGAAAATAAGATGGTATTATAGCCAGACCTAGAAATTCAGGGTCAATTTGCATATTGCAGGTGTCGAAGAGTATTTCTTGCTAACAGACAGGTCAGTTTGAAATTTGGTATCTTGGAATGATTGTGCAAAAGAAGATAAGGGATGGAACAGCAAAGTTGAAAATGCCACAGTGACTGTGATTGTCTGTCTAACTTTTAGAAACTTGGATGCTAGTAGTTATGCAAAATGGAAAATAAAACTTTCTTTATTGTGGAATCTTTTCATTTCCTTTTTTAAAAGCATTGCTGACCTATGTGGAGATAGAAATAGCCTTTCTAAGGGAAAAAATGCCAGGAAAAAAAAAAAAGGATTTAATGCAGTACTATTTATTTTTGTATTG